TCAAATAAAAAATAATCAGCCCGACATGCCCTATCTCCCAGAAATATACCGAAATACTTGTGTCCCTACGTTATCAGGACATGTACGATGATCAACCCAGTTGAACTCCGGTTGTACTGCTGATCGACGCTGTCATTATCAGCAAGATAGGTGAACCGAGCCGGAGTTGACATGGAAGGATGGATGGGAGACGGAGGATGAATAAAGGCGAAGGGGGGCCCCGATGGCCGTAGATTCCGACACGAGGAATGGAATCCAGCTTGAGAATTGATGATGCACTGGCAGATGATGCTATCCAAAAGACAGGCAGACCAAATGGAATCCGAACCCGACCAGGTAAGTAACCGGGTCCGACGGGCTCAACCTCTCGGCACATCTTCTCGGAACACTGAAAAATTGAATATTGTATAATTAGTTATGCACGGTCGCGTAAAGGACTCAGCGAGCTTGTGTGGGATCCAAAATAGCTACGCCCCGAGAAGGTCGGGACGGGGTCAACCTCGGTGGCCAGGAAGTGCGGTGGTGGGAAAACATTCGAGAGTCTGAGAATTCGAAGCTGACTCACGATAAAACACCTATCATACTGGCGACCGCCGACCGGAACGTGTGCTGATAGCGCGTAATCGCAGAGCCTTGAGGAATTGATATTGAATACGGACTCGGGATTGGAAAAAAAAGGCTAAACTGGACGCTCCATGCATGGACTATAATGGTGACCAACGATAGAGATGAAATTCAGAATTGGTTGCACGAAACGAGTGGATTGCATGGTATGTCGCCAAGTGAACATATTAGCTAGATATAGAGCTAGATGGCCGTCGGAGAGCTGAGTGTCTTCTGATAGTCAAAATAATTGCAGTGCATCAGCGCCAGTATCTTAAGCGAGAGAAAGACAATTCACGGAGACTGTATAGTACGTTTCCAAGCACAGAACTTGCATTAGGTGGCTGAGAACTATGGCACTTGTATTTTTTCGAGAATACATTCATGCCCGTTATCTTACCCGCAGATGGTGATGTTACACTGTTCACCGAGGGATGCGGACATTTGCTTGAGTAGCACGCATAGACATTAGGTGCTAGCCTTTCGCAGCACTATTGAAGTTCAAAATGCCGAGTCCGAGGGTTCTCCGAGCAAGATAACTTGGGTGTTGATTGACCAGAGGACATGTACGATGAAGGATATTTCCACCACATCCGTGGCTGTTGTTCTACCCTCTAATATTGTCCGTATTGTTCGTGCCTTCTCGGATACTTGCAGCGAAGCGCATGCACCATGTGTGCAGAGCTCTATTCGAAACAAGGAATGTCGATGAGCTCAGTTATGACGCGTTGAACAGGTTACCCCAAGCAAAGCGACCATCACATCGCATATCCGGCACAGACAGCGAGCACAGACAACGAGTATCTGATTGAACCCACCACTTGGCCCTTCTATATCTTATACGGTTATACCGCCTGCATCACCCATGTCACAGACAAGAAGCATTCAAAGGTAACCATCCACGAGCGGAAGTACGGTCAAAGTTTGCAGTTGAAACAATTTCAAGGAATCAGCGGACCTTGGAATTTCCTTGCATACAAACCGCTCAGCCATTTGGCAGATCAGCGGAAACTTCCAGCTGACCGCGGGACGCAGCAGGAACCAGGGGCACGAACTATGATATCGCGTACTTTCGCTCGAGCTGCGCGTGTTGTGGAGTGGGAACCGAGAAGCGAGGGGTTCGGCCCGAGAGTGATTACAGAGAATGCAGAATCATCCACGATGCGCCTTTGTATGTTTCTATGTAGTGCATGTCGGATAGATACTGCAGAGTTGAGCCAAGAGGAACCGCGGGAACTCAAGTGTCAATAAACAATAAGCAATTGAAACCGTGCGACGATTCTATAGCGATCGGCAGGCTCCGGTGACTGGCGAGAAGTGAATCCACTTCAAGGCTGTAGGGAACAATGGAAAACCAGAACTCGCAGGAATTAGAGAGCTGCCTATGGAGACGCGCCTACTGCGTTGCAGGGAATCGAGGAAGGAAGTCGGGAGAAGACAACGGGAAAACGCCGGTGGAAGGAGGCTGTATTTAAACTGGGGTCGAATTGGATTATCGGCCCTCGGTCCTCGAGGAAGGGAACCCTCAACCGATGCGGGTGAGAGCCGGCCACTTACGGGATGGAAAAATTCAGTTTCGGCAGCAACAGAAGTAAATCCAGAGGATTATTTTCAGTGCGGTTTTGACAAAGAGAGAAGCACCGAGGTAATTAATTGGTCTGAGAGTAGGAGCTTCCTTGAATACAAAGCTTCGATGAAATCGAATTACTTACTGGCATATGATAGATCGTTGGCCACTGTTAGGAAACGACGGTGTGAGGAGTTTGGCGAAGTTCACTGTCTCCCAACAAGTATCCAAAAAGGATTCAATCAAATGCGTTGCGGTGGATCAGGACAGGGAAATCGGTCGCTGGAGCAATTCAAGCTCTGGAAAGACATAAGACATAACCGCGCCTTTCCATGGCGCAGCGAAGTTATTCGGTTTCGGAAGCTTGAAATCAGAGTAACGGCGCACTTGCTACGGGCCAAATCCAGCGGTATGCATCTTGGAAATGGCGTGGTGGTGAAGGATGGGAATGAAAGAGCGGAAGTAGCGCCACAGTTGTGATGGCACACCGAACCCGAATTGTTCCGATACCACGTGCGTGCGAACTTTGGTAGTCAAAATTAGTGCCGGGTCTAACAGGCGGTATGTATTGATTGTATTATACAAGCTGTATTATACATGTATAAAACATTTCATACTTTGGGACCCCCAAGAGACCATGTATTTAATGTGTATTTAATTGCCGACCAGTACCAAATTGGTCCGGACGCTTCCTATAGCTACATCGTATCCAAGGAAATGGTGAATTCGGCCTGAGTCGGTTACAATCAAGTGATGGAGAAATTGCATGTGTTTCTCGATTTTTCTCTTCTTCGCCACTTCTGCCGACGAGGAAGACGTTCTTTCTGCTCATGGGGGTCTCGCAGGGTCTCGCATGAGCAATACGAGACGCTTAAAAACGGCCTCAAACCGCTTCTGGACCGAAAATGGTTTCAATTTCCCTGATATCGAAGCAGCAATGATCGCTGTCTTCGGTAATGACCGCCGCTCAGCCGAGGCGCAGGCTTGGACTCAGTACTGGTCTGCTTTGGGAACAGCTGAAGAGCTGAAATCTCAGGGAGACAATTTTATACCCCATCCAGCCTCCCAAGAAGCCCGCCAAGGCGTCCAACGCAGAGTGGACCAGCAAGGACGCCGAATGGGACGCTGCAGACTGGTAGGGTGTATTAAATACCTTCAATACATAAAATACACCATTAAATACGTGTTTATATACATTAAATACCGGAATTTTTCGGGCCTGCGGCGCCGGTATTTAATGTATTATACGGCCCATACCTTCCAGACATTGAGGCCGCTGCGCGGCCGCATATTATACACAGCCAAAATCATTCCAGACCCGGCACTAAAAATAATGCTCAACAACTTACTGTATTTTTTCAATCAGATCGACACGGGGTGTGATGCGTGACCTACTGGGACCATTTCGACAATTCGATACCATCGAAATTCTCGCGAGACCACTGGACAAATTTCGAAATTTCAATGCGAAAATTTGTTTTTTGGTGTTTTTAGGGGATTTTGCCCTGTGTGACGCGAATTTTAGGTTCGATAAAGGCCTGAGTGACGCGTGACATCGACCAAAATTCGATATCGGTACGGTGGTGCGTGACGCGTGACTATCGACCTGATTGAAAAAAATACAGTACCCCAATCATTTGCAGTGGTGAGTCCCCGGTCCAAGGAGCTCAGGTCGTTTCTGAAGTCCATTATCCTTTCCACTTCTTCTGGGTTGTCCTCAGCCTCCAGTCAGCCAAACTGAGATAAATTTATGTCTTTGAAGACGGGAGTTCTGTTTTGTTTGTCCTAAATTCCATCGAAGAGATTCAGGTGTCTCCTCACTCCGTTTTTTTTTTTTGTGGTGTAGTTCAGAGTTTTTTGTCCATTACAGCTGTTTCCGAAAAGATTGAGACAACAGTTTTTTTTCTCATTGCATATTTTTTGCCGGAATGCCAAGGGAATGCTAAGGATTACTGCTTTTGGCTCAGATCACCCACCGTTTTGGGATCGGCCAGTCCAGGCCGTCATCCCACTTGGTTACATTGTTTTTGTGCAAGGCATAAATCGGTGTGGTTTTTGTTCCAGGCATTCTGTACGCGACATAGAAGGCAAATTGCAAGCCTTAGGACAAAATTTGTGTAGGTCCAGATATTTGGTACAATATTTGAGTGGGATTGGTTTGGGCTTGGCAAGACCAAAACCGGTAATCCTTAGCATTCCATCAAAAATTGATCAAAAATTGCGAACACGAAAAAAAATTGTCGTCTCAATCTTTTCGGAAACAGCTGTAATAGAAGATAGAGAAGAAGAAGAAGAAAAAAAGTACAACCCAATTCTGGTGTAAGTATGTTGAATCTTACCTGAACCTATAGTATTGCCTCCCTACATACAGAAATATCTCTCCCACGAAGTCAGCTTGGAAACAAAGGAAGTAAGACCTGGTGGTGAAATGTATCACACCTCTTACATCTTGTCCCTCCGTACAGTGGCAGATGGGAGTCCCCGGTTCAATTCCGGGTCAGGTCATTCCTGGAACGCCACCAAATTTTTCTGCTTCATTCTGTTTTTTTTTTTTTATGGTTGTCAATTCAAGTCAGAGTTTCTGTCATTCAATTGAGTCCCCTGGTTCATTTCCAGGTCAGGTCATTCCTGGACCACCAAATCTTTCTGCTTCATTCTGTTTTGTTTTTTTGTGGTGTAGTGCCGAGAGGTTCTGTCATTTTGACAGAAAGAGAGACAACAAGTAGATCCTCTTCTAGCACAATGTTGAATCTAAAATACACCCTAAACTCCATTGGTATCACCTCCCCAAATATCTCTCGCAAAAATAGCTCAGAAACAAAGCAAAGAAGACCTGGTGGTGAAAGGTATCACACCCACTTTCTATGATGTATCCATTTCTGCGCAATTTGCAGTGGGAGTACCTGGTTCAAATCCAGGTCGGGTTGACCTAGATTTCCTTGCCTTTTTTTTCTGGTCCTTTGTTTACTTGGTTTTGTTCAATGTTTTTCCAATTCCCGACTTCAAGCCAGAAAGGGGATGTATGGTGAATGCAACATAATCCTTTCCCTATTTTGAAATCAGGGGTTTTCCCTCAAAATTACTGTACTATTTTGACCAAGCGTTCGTCAATTTGGGAATTTTCAATCTCCGCGATGGCCGGTAAATTTTCTTTTGAATTAAAGCGATTTTTACACACATCAGGATCAAAAAAAAAAAATCAGATGTGACTGCGACATGAACACTTGGTCAAAATAGTACAGTATTATTGAAGAGACTTGGAGTCACAATATACCAGCACCAAGGATGTGTCCCACAAAGACAGCATAGAAACAAAGCGATAATGACCCGGTGGTGAAGTGAATCACACCCACTCTCTGTGCACAGATTTTCGAACGTTGTAAGTGGGATCCCTGGTTCGAATCCGGGTCGGGTTGTTCCTAGATTTCCTCGCCTTTTTTTTCTGGTCCTTTGTTTACTTGGTTTTGTTTGATGTTTTTCCAATTTCACGAGTTCAAGCCAGAAAGGGGATGTATGGTGAATGCAACATAGTCCTTTGCCTATTTTGAAATCAGGGGTTTTCCCTCAGAATTTCTATGCCACCAAATTCTTCTGCTTCATTCTGTTTTTTATAGTGTGGTTCAGAGTTATTGTCCATCAATAGAAGATAGAGAGAAGAAGAAGAAGAAAGTACAGCCCAATTCTGGTGTAAGTATGTTGAGTCTGAAGTACACCTTGAAGCTTTCAAAGTATTGCCTCCCTACATACAGAAATATCTCTCTCACAAATACAGCTTGGAAACTAAGCAAAGAAGACCTGGCGGTGAAATGAATCACACCCACTCTCTCTGTACCCCATTTCAGTGCAATTGTAAGTGGGAGTCCCTAGTTCAATTCCGGGTTGGGTCATTCTTTTTGAACCAATGCAAACCTTTTTGCTCTTCTGTTTTGTTTGTCTTAAGCTACTTAGCCTCCGTTCAATTGAAATTCAGAGGTTCTGAATTAAGATGAGAGAGAGGACCACAAAAAAGCTTGAGGGAAGAGGAACAAAAAAAGCTTGAGGGAATCTATCCTTGTGTAAGTCTGTGCTTGTGTAAGTAATCTTGACTCCTGCATAAATACAGTTTAGGACCAAAGGAAATCAGACCCAATGGTGAAATGAATCACACCCACCCCTCTTCCCTCTTCCCTTCTACTTGCAGAGTAAGTGGGAGTTAAGTCCCGGTTCGAACCCGGGTCGGGTCGTGTGTCTGAATCAGTGACTCCCATTTTTTTTTTTGAAATTATTATTCTTCTTCTTTTTTTCCCCCAGTACATAGCAGTTTTCCCGCAGTACATAGCAGTTTTCCCCCAGTACATAGCAGTTTTCCCCCAGTACATAGCAGGTGCGGAGTGAGTGGTGTTATGAGACTGGTGTTATGAGAGATGGGTTTTTAGGGATGCTGGTTATTATTCGATGGATAGATGCTGGTTATCATTCCGTGTTGTATGAGGTATTTACTTCCGCGTTTCGGCATGACATTTACTTCCGCTCAGCCTCCGGCATCAGAATCAGAACCCCGAGCTCGGCACGGAGGCACGGAAGCAAAAAACGCATAATGAAAGCCTAAAGGATTGCCATAATGAAAGGATTGTGATGGCTGATGCGGATTTCTGATGTGATGGAGGATTTCAGAGGATTTCCTCCGTAATTCCGTCTTCCGTTTTCTGTCTTTCTTTGTCATCATCAGGCATCTCAGCGATTGTCTCGGCGATTTATCGTTTTTGAGCTTTCCTCTCACGTCGTCGTCTGTTGTCGGCCTCGGCCTCTCGTATCTGTCTTTTGCGAAAGGAAGATCTCCCATCTCTGGATTCAGGACCGACCGGACAGACAGATCAGCCTGCCACCGCAGTACACTGTACAGCGCGAGGGACCGACATACTCCACTATGATCCATACATCGATTCGACATGTCGTCGACGTCGGTGTTGGTCCCTTGCGCGAGTACATACTCCACTATGATATGTATGTACTGCGCGAGGGACCGACGGACTCCACTATGATATGTACTGCGCACGCCGCAAGGGACCGACGGACTCCACTATGATACAGCGCCAGGATCACAGTATGTACGACACAGACCACCTTACGCGTCGGGCTCCGGTGGTGGTGCCTATCAAGGAGTAAGTATATACTATCAAGGAGTAAGTATATACTCGACTCGGAGTATCAAGGGCACCACTGGCACTGGCACTGGGCAGGCAGGGTGCTGGCACCGGAGCCTGACGCGTAAGTGGGTCTGTGTGGTGCGTTCGCCCAGTCGACTCGACTCGGACCTGATGATGAAAAAGACCGACTCGGACGTGACTCGCCAAAAAGGAAGGGCCGTGATGAAAAAGGAAGAAGTACACGACATAACGGGAACAAGGAAGAAGGAAGAAGGAGGAGGCGGGCGTAATCCCGCTCAGGCCCCGTCGTGATAATGGAGACCGATGGAATGTTCTTTCGGTTCGCGTTATTCGTTATTAATACTCAGAAGGCAGGCATGCATGCAGGCCGGGCGAATCATCACGCCCTGCGTGCGTTAGTAGCAGCCGGTGGCACCGCACTCCCCCCCTTGCCTTGCTCGATCTCGATTTCACTTCGCGGGCATCGCATTCAGATCCAATTTTGCGTTATCGGAATCGTAATCTGAGGTGCCGAAATAGAATGCGATTTCGGTTCTGTCGGTCGGTCGGGATGCGAACAAGATGAACGATTCACAAACGTCAACTCGGTTCGGCGTGTGCGCGCAAGGAGGAAATCAAAAAGAAGGCCTTGAAGGAAGGGGTGATATGCCAGACTCCGAGTCGGATTGACAAGACAAGTCAAGTCAAGCGCTTGTACTTATACAAGAGACGAGACAGACGGGACGCGCCTGCCTGCCTGTCTTCGAGTCCCTCCAGCGGCCACCGTCCGTCTGCAAACAAACCCCGCGCCGACAAAAAGTAACGAAGACGATGTCCGGCCCCCGCCCCGCGCCGCTCTCCTTTGCGCCCCTCCCGCCCAACCCGCCGTTCGCCCATACCACCAACAACACCGACTCGGAGCCCCCCTCCCCCACCGCCCCTGCCCCCGGCTCCACGGGCACCTCGCCCCCCGTCACCCCGCGCAGCCTCTCCTTCCTCACCCCGCCCATCCACACCGCGGCCATGCCGAACCCGTTTGGCACCCCGCCTGGGACGAGCCATGGGGTCAGCGGCGTGTACGGTGCCGGGTTCAGTAACAATAACGGGAATGCGCAGGGAGGAGGCAACGGAAACCCGTTCTCGCCGCCAGCAAGCGTGCGCTCGTTCTCGCATTACGGGGGCGGGGGCGGGCAGCAGACTCCGCACGGGCAACACACGCCCGGGACGCACTCCTTTGGCAGCGGAGCGGGCAGCGGGTACCCCTTCCCCTCGCCAGACAGCACGCGCGCGTCCTCGCTCGTCGACGTCCCGCGCGCTTTCGCCTCCAACGCCCCCGCGTCCCCCGCGAGCTCCCTCCGCCCGTTGAGCGCCACGCCGTCCACGCATCACTTTAGCAGCCTCAACCTCAACGGCGGGGCTTCCACCCCAGGAGGAACCCCAGGAGGAGGAGGGACCACCACACCAACAGGCCAAGGCACCCCCGCACGCCGCGACACATTCGCCTCCCCGCCCGCGCGCCCGCTCACGATCTACGCGCAGGCGCACTCGTCCGGGACGATACGCGCGCGGCCGGTGCGGCCGAAGAGCACCGCGCTGCTTGTGCCGAGCTCGTCTCTTTCGCTCGAGAGCACTGCGCCGTCGGCTCGCACGGCGTATACGGTGGAGGGGAGTGGGGAGGAGGTGAACAACGAGAAGATGGGGATGAAGAGGGGCAAGGGGGGGAAGAAGAGCGCGTTGAGTAAGAGGCCGACGTTGCGCGCTACGCTGGACAAGCCCTGGGTGGGGACGCGCGATCCCGCCGCGAGGGTCGCGTACTTGGTCACGTATGCGACGATTTTGTTGGGTGCGTTGCTGGCTGTCTCACCATTCTCTTCATCCCACTCTCGTTCCCACTCTTTTTGTTCCTTCTTCATTCCTCCCTTGTTTTCATTTTTCGTCTCCAGTCCTTTTGCGCTCCTCTCCCGTCTTCACGAATTTCGAAATTTCGACAAGTACACTGACACCCACCCAGGCCTCGCCGCCGGCGCAGCCCGCATCTACACCGGCTGGAAGGGCGTTCTCCTCCTGCAGGACAACCTCTGCCCCGTCGTTGTAGAGGATTTCTCTTCTGCTACCACGGGTAAGCAATACTTCAATTCGAATAGGAAGATGCGACATGGATGCTGATATATGATTGGAACGACAGAGAGCCTCTTCGGCGACGGCGGGCTGTTCTTTAGGGAGGTGGACGCGAGTGGGTTTGGGTGCGTTGTTTCTCAGCTTTTCGATTATCTTATTTTCGGTTTTCGTATATGTCTCTTCTCTTATGCGTTTCGCATATGTCTTTTCGGTTTTCGTATATGTCTATTCGATTGTCGATTTCTTCCTCGCTTTCCGCTTTCACTTCTTGCATCGCACGTCGCGTTCACTTCTTGCCTTGCACGTCGCGTTCACTTCTTGCATTGCGCGTCGCGTTCGCTTCGTCCTCGCGGGCATCGCTACCGCTGCGTTCTGCGACCATTCCTCCCACTGCACTCTCCTGTTCCCTCCCTTCCCTCTCTCCATTCATCCGTTATTCACTCCCATTCATCCGTTATTCCCTCCCTCCTTCCTCCCCTCTCCCTCCTCCCCTCATCCCCTTCTTTTTATTCATTCCCTCTTCCGAATAGAATAAAAACCTCTTCCTCTCCTTCCACATCACATATACTAACCCCACCCTCTTCTTTCGCAGCAACGGCGAATTCGAGATGACCACCAGCTCGGCGAGCAACTCGTTCGTGCGCGACGGGCAGCTGTTCCTCGTCCCCACGCTCACGAGCGAGGTTATTCCGGAGGGGAGTATTTTGGGTGCGTTTTTGGGGTTTTCTACTTTTTTTTTTTATTTATGTTTTTACTTGCGGTTTCTGTACTACTTGCGGTCTCTGTACTACTTGCGGTTTCTGTCCTCGTTTTGAGGAGAGAGAGCCAATGGGGGGGAGGCAGGAGATGGGAAAGCGCACATGTGGGGGAGCGGGCGTGCGGTTGCGGATGTGCATGTGGAGCGCATCGACCATCGCTCCCAAGGCAGTGGGTGGTCGGGTTGGATGTTGTCCGCGTCGGCGTCGCATCGAGCTGCTTGCGCCGCACTGTCGCCGCTGCCTCTCTTCATCTCCTCCCTCTCCTCCCTTTTCCTCTCTCCTCCCTTTTTCCCTCTCCTCTTCCCCTTCTCCTCTCCCCTCCGTCCCTCTCCCCATCTCCTCCTCTTCTCCTTCCACTCCGCCCATAAAAGCACTTGTACTGACGACCACCCCCAACAGACGGCGCCGTGTACA